GCCTCATCAAAAAGAGTATGTAGATACCAAAGAAGGAATAGAAAAAAGGTGAGTGCCACTATGTTTTTGAAACTAAAATATTATTTCAAATGTCTTGTTTAGATTACAAAAAGCCTTTTGACAATTCCTGCAGTGGTAAAGTAACAAAGGGTAGTTAATGATCAACACCAAAGTGATGATGATGAAATATGTCTACATTGCTCAGAAGCACTTGAACTTCATCTCATAGGATCTGGTATACATGGCAATTGTGAAATCATTTTCCTTATTATACCTTGTAGAAAATTCAAATGAAAGTTGCAGAGTTTAAACAAGGTGTAATAGTTTGAAAAGGCTAAAAAAGATGAAAGGTTACAAATTAAAATTATAACTACATTAACACTGCTTTGTATTAGGTTCTCAGGCAATTGTATCATGCAAGTCAGTTTAATCACAAAATGAAACAGTACCCTACAGAGAGATAGGAATACAATGTACCCTTATTACATGCATACCAGATGATATCATCTCCAGTGAAGATGAGCTATCATTATCAGATAATGATGATCATGACATATAAGTAACATTTATTTTATTAATAGTGAAAAGTATTTTTTTCTAATGCTATGCTAGGTCCTTTACTATAGAGTCTGATGATGAAAGCTGTTACAGTGACTTCAGGTATATTAACTTAAATTGAGTATATTATTATACAACTGCAGCAATACAATTTTTGATGACGATGACAATGAAGGTACAGAAATAGCAGTAGCAACTAATGAAAGTGAAATGTAAGTTTTAAATTAAAACTTCAAATAAATTGCTTGTCGGTATAGGTTCCCCCATGAATTAAAGTACATTGTGTTTCAAAGCTCTCTGTTGTTGCTTTTTTCTATATGTCGAATGTACTGTGCTACAACATCTTCTGTTAAGAAGTTTATAATTGGCACGTATCTCAGAATTGAACAATACTGTTCTAAATGTGGTTACATTTATCATTGGAAGAATCAGCCATTAGTTAGCAATGTCCCATTAGCAAACCTACTTCTCACTTCATTGCTACTGTTTAGTGGAAATTTGCCACTTAAAACGTTTCAATTTTTGAAGTATCTAAACTATAAATCAATTTCTCCAACAACATTTTTTAAGCGTCGAAAGCTCTCTCTACTACCAGCTGTATCCACATTGAGGGAGAGGAAACAGTCTAAATATTTTGAAGCAAAAAAAATGTGTTCACCATTAATTAGAGGTGGCGATAGACGGGCTGACAGCCCTGGATTCTCTGCTATGTACGGTAGCTATACAACAATGGATTTAAATTTTAACCAAATTGTTGATATTGCCTTAGTTCAGGTATACTTATGTTATAATTTGTTATATAATTTACAATTTATTTATTACAGAGTAGTGAAGTCACTAGTAGTGTTAGTATGGAAAAAGGACTTATTAGATCCACATGCACAGCAATCATTACCAGTGTAGATTGGCTAGTCTAGTCTCATCTCCATGTTCTTCATCACTGTTGCTACTTGATGAATCACTTGCCTCTGGTTCATAGCAGTAAGGAGTTATGGCTTGCAAATCCAAAGGAGAATCTTGACTATAGCTGGAACATGAAGAAGTTTCTGTAGCGTCAGATTCCATATTGTTCATCAGATGACATCACAAATATGACACCCCCATATTGTTGTTTATACTCGAAGAATATGGCTGCCACCAAAAAAAGTTGATGTGTAGCATGCACAATCTCGCAAATTAAATTTTTTTAATGTTGTAAGTGCATAAATGTTTGCTATTTGTTGTATTGATACTGTCGTTTGATTATTAAAAATCGAGAAAAAAAAGCTTAGTTACCCTTTCAGTTAACTTTTGAATGAACATTTAAATGCTGAGTTAGTAATTGATCACGTAAATTTTGACCAGTAAGTGATGCTTGCCCTTTGCCTGAAACCATTATTTGTTGCAGTGAGGGTAAGAATTCCTGAATTCTAATATTGCACAATTTACGTAGCATGTCATCATACACATTAAATGCAGCTTGTTTCTCAGTATCATTTTGTATAGTCATTTTCTTCTCTAAAATTTGAATGAAGGTACTTTGGAGATGTGTTGTCTCGGAAGCGAGAACATGAGCCACCTGAAATAAAAGTCTTATTATACTTTTACAACATTATAATAGTCGGGTACCTTTATAAGCAACCTTTATAAGCAACCTTTATAAGCAGGTCACCATGTTCCTTAATGCCTTGTTAATTCACAACACCTTTTATGCATTCATCAATCACTCTACATAATGATAGGAATAATGGATCTGGTGTGTACATATATCCTCTGTCATGATACTGCAAGTAAGATGACATACTGTATGAAAGAAAATTTAGGAGGTAGTTAAATTTGGTGAATTTGGCGTTTTGATAACCATTCGCCAAAATAAAAATTCACCATTTTGAGCCATTATGCTCATGCTCAATGGCACATGGCTACAAATTTGCCAATCATCCAAAATTTACCAATTCGCCAAATTTTAGTCCCTCCAAAATTTCCTTCTGTACGGTAGATTTTATTATTTGTGACCATAATTGACAAAAGGTACCTTATGGCGGGTAGTGAAATTTGTCTTTCTAGCCTAAGAAATACAACTTCCTGAGCCCCAGTTATCATAAAATTACTCCACAGGATGCAAAAAGTTACCATGAAACTTTTAAAAACAATGATTGTCTAACAAAGCACTCACAGGTTGATATTTTCCATTATAACTATCAATTTTAAAATCCGCCATAAGGGTCATTTTGTCAATTATGGTCACATTAATTTTTTGGAATTAATAGCTTGCAGCACTTTGATCTCTAGTGAAACTCCTTCCCTTTTGTCAGCATTACATTTCCTTATATCATCATACCGCTTGTGAAGGTGTTTCACAGGTTAGCATATAGTTCTTTGTGCACTACAGTGATAATTATTTTTTAGTCTTCATTGTCATTTAGCTTCCGTATTAGTACAGCAAGTATTTGTGCCATTTTGTATGAAACGTGTCAGGCAATATGGTCTGCTCTTCAGCCTGTGAATGTAAAGGCATCTTGTTGTGAGGAGGACTGGTTGAAAATCAGTCGTGAATTTGAGCAAATGTGGAATTTTCCTCATTGCATTGGTAAGTTATATTTTGAGTACTGAGCTTCGTTGCATATAATTATGTACATATACATGTAGGTGCTGTTGATGGAAAACATATTAATATCCAAGCACCAGCTAATGCTGGATCTGAATATTACAATTACAAGGGAACTCATTCTTTAGTCCTCCTTGCTGTATGTGATGCTCAGTACCGGTAAATTTTTTATAAATAATTGTGATATGCACATACATATAGGTTCACACTGGTTGACATTGGAGAAGCTGGTAGGCAAAGTGATGGTGGTATTTTGTCTAATTCTTTGTTTTGTCAGGCTTTAGACTCAAACACTATCTATCCCAGAGCCGTTACCAATACCAAATACTACAGACATACCCCTCACTTATGTTATTGTAGGAGATGAAGTGTTCCCTCTCAAATGCAATATGCTACGTCCATACCCTGGTCGATATTTGCCTGGTAAGTTAATGTAATTGAAGCATTTTAATTTTCAAATTATGCTAGAAGATAAAGCTATATACAACTATAGACTTAGCAGAGCTCGACGTGTAATTGAAAACACTTTTGGGATTCTAGCCTCTCGATGGAGAATATTCCGCCAACCTATTATTGCTCAACCACATAGGGTTGAAGTGTACACAAAGGCTTGCATCGCTCTTCATAATTACCTTCAAACCACAGAGTTGTCTTTATACTGTCCATCAGGATTTGTGGATGGTGAAGATGGCTCAACGAACATTGTCAATGGTAGTTGGCGTGATGATGGCACTTCACCAGGGTTTACTTCAGTCCATCAAGTCAGTAGTAATAGGTAAGTATAAATTTGGCAATCAAAATAACAATTAAAATTATAGGCACTCTAGAGCAGCAAGTGATGTGAAGGACTACTTTTAAAAGAACTTTAGTAGTAAAGAGGGAGAGGTGTACTGGCAATACCATTATGTTAGGAGGACACATTAAACAAAACTTATCATTAAGCAAAAAAACTGTTTGGTTATCATGAACACATTAACAAAAGTTATTTTTTGTTACCAATTATTTCTTATCAATAGTCAATGTCTTGATTCAGTTAATTGTTATATGGTAAAGACATAAATGAAGTTGGGAAGTGATTGACATTAGTAGCAGGACTTTTAACTTCGCAAATACCTTTTGCTGAGGAGTGAATCGTCGCATTGTTGCTGCTACTAGCTGTCCAAAATGTCCTTCCTCATCATTCACTGAAACCTTTGTCTTCTTTTCTTGTAAAACATTAAGACTCTTCACAAGTAACAAATCAATTTCATCAGCACGTGTTCTTTTCCTTTTCGTAATGAGCTTGATAAATTTTCTGTGGATGTAGCAGGACTACTGTGGGGTGGAGGAGAGATACATGTATCATCAGATTTTGAGCTGTCATCAAGGCTATCATTTAACACAGGCTCAGATGTTGTTAAACTGTTAAAAAAAGTTTTTCAGTGATAAAATATGTGACCATAATTGACAAAAGGGCCCTTATGGCGGGATTTTAAAATTGATTGTCATAATGGAAAATATCAACCTGTGAGTGCTTTGTTAGACAATCATTGTTTCTAAAAGTTTCATGGTAACTTTTTGCATCCTGTGGAGTAATTTTATGATAAATGGGGCTCAGGAAGTTGGATTTCTTAGGCTAGAAAGACAAATTTCACTATCCGCCATAAGGTACCTTTTGTCAATTATGGTCACATATAATAAAAGATAGACACATACCTTGATCTACTATTATCCACATCACTGGGACTACAAGCATTATATTCATTGGTTTCCACATCAGTATCATTAACAAAGTTACTGGATGTTCTATAAAACAAAACATTAACGAAATAAAGAACAGCTTTCTCTTCTGTTCTATGCTTTATCGTATCAGATATGAAAGTCATTTAATTAAACAATGGCCAACATGACACATATACTGGGCCTTCTTCTCCTGTTTTTCTTTTCTTTACTTTTTTGATCTCTCTCACAAACTTATTTCTTAAACTCTTCCATTTCATACTACAATCATCTACACTACATCCTTCACCAACCTACAATGATAAAGGTTACAATTTTATTTTGTAAAATCATAGACCCTTGGCTTATATTTTCTTGACACAATGACACTTATTACAAAATAGGCTTTACTTACTTTATCAGCAACTATCTTCCAGGCTTTTTCCTTTGCCCTAATATCTTTGTATGCCCGAGTGGATAACTGCCAAAGACAAGGAAAGTCTCTCACAGCTTCTATCAGTTTTTCATCGGCCATTTTAACAAGTGTGGACAATGTGACCCAAAAAATCTGATGGGATGTACACAGACAACTTTACGTAGGAATAGAATTTTTTCCTATTTAAAACTACGAAACGCTACAACGCATGCACCTACGCTACTCATTTACAATATGATATATAACGTTCGCTACATTCTGCATGACGCTCCGCTCGGCTAATGTCATATTGTAAATCCGCCTTTACACTGTAAATTACATGTATCATATGCATATTATTTTTGAAGGTATGTGGACCCTCTATGCTGTATTTGTTTTCAGTGATATGATTCATGATTTGATGACTATGTTGACATTTAAAAAGATGACGTAATGCTGATAGGGATAAATTTATGGTAACAGAGTTACCAAGATGACAAAGTATTTGCAGTTTTTAAAAATTAAAAAAATTGCCGCATTATTTTCTGACAAGAGCAATGAAATGAAGATTTTCAACTAGAGAAGGTTGTGCACGTAGCTGACAGTTCATCTCTAGATACAGGCCAGAAAGTACTATTGTCACAAAGCAAGTTATGAAAACCCATATTGATAAAATTCCACTGCCTGACCCATATCCTTTGCCAAAGCACTTTAACAGTGCTGTTGAGCCTGAATTAAAGTTATAACATGTCTAGTTCTACTTACCGTCTTATCATATCCGATGTTGCTTCATCTCTGCTGGCTTACAAACAGCAGACAAAGATTGCACAACTATAACAAGAGCTATTTTTACAGATTACCCATTTCTTACACCCATAGGATGTGGAACACCTTATGTCAGTTTTACCAGATTTGCGACTGTGTATAAACATTAGTTTTTATTCTTAGGATGCTATTAACAAAGAATAAAAATCTCGATTTAAAGACTTTTGTAGAGTTACTCCTGCAACAAAACCCTGTCTGCTTCAACTAATAAGAAAAGGCCAATTTGTAAATCTCCTGGAGTAAGTATCAGCATTCCTATACCAGAAGTCAAGGCTGGAAAGGATAAGTTTGCCTTTGATCAGCATAATAAACTCTTGAAGTTTCAAAACACAAGCCAAACAGAATTTTAGTAACTAAGGTAATTAATTTATTTTTTTGCAATGAGGAGACAAGACATCATTAATAACGGCTATCCTGGTGTGGTCATTATTTGAGACTTATTTAGCATTTGAGGATTATAGCTAAGTAAGAATCTTTATCCTAATCGTAATGTGACTTTTTTGTTGTAGCTATGCATCTTTTAAGTCCTCCTCCTCTGACCTTTGTCACTCTCTAACTCTTTTGGGTCGCTGTTTATGTATTGATTATGTTGACCCGAGGGAGATTGCCCTATTGTTGGCCTGTCGTCTGATTGCTTTAGACAAATGCCCCAGTGTACGTCCTCTTGCTGTTTGTGAGACAGTGAAGCGTATCATTGCAAAGGCCATCCTTTTTATCACCAAAGATGACTTACGAGAAGCAGCTGGTACCGTACAAATCTGTGCCGGGCAGACTTCTGGTATTGAGCTGCACTTCATTTTGTCAGGTCCAGCTTTTCCGTTGACAAGTGAGAGGCTGTCGTGTTAGTCGACGCTTCTAATGCCTTTAATTCCCTGAACAGACAGGTTGCCCTCAGGAATGTTTGTCATTAATGTTTAACTCTGGCAACAGTATTGATTAATACATATCAGGCTTCAACTGAGCTACTGGTTGATAATCAACTCCTGAGGTCTCAAGAGGGTACCACCCAATGGGACCCCATGGCTATGCCTCTTTATGCCCTGGCAACACTTCCTCTGATCTGTCCCCTTCCTCTTTCCTCCTCTCTCTAACATGTCTGGTATGCAGATGATGCATCCGCTTCTGGTAAAGTGTCCAACCTACAAAACTGGTGGTCTGCTCTGACAAATCATGGTCCCTTTTATGGCTACCTTCCGAATCCATGTAAGACCTGGCTAATAATGAAGAGCAAGTACCTTGATTCTGCTAACACTGCTTTCAGGGACTCAGACATTGATATAACTACCAGCGGCAGACCCTTGTTGGGTGCAGCAATTGGATCTGCTGACTTTGTCAAGAGCTTTATTAAGGACAAGGTTAGCACATGTTTATCAGAGTTAGCTGCTCTTGCTTCTGTGGCTGAGTCACAACCCCATGCTGCTTATTGTGCTTTACTAAGGGCTTCATTCATAAACATAGTTTTATTTCTCACGTCCAACCTGGTATTAGTGGATGACTACAATAAGTTGAGAGTTCATTGCTGACAGTCTTATCCCAGTTTTTACAAGTAGTCCACCCTTAGGAACTATCGAGAGGAGTTAGTGGCTTTGGCAGTCAGATTTGGGGGTCTCGGATTACTTAAGACAACCGACTGTGCTGATAATAAACACCGTGCTTCTAAGGAGATTAGCCGTCCACTCAGTGATATCATTATCTGTAAGAAGGGTTCTACTGGACAAGGAAATGTCCCTATTTTTGAGCAGACTGAGGCTAAATTGTCAGTAGTGAAGAAAAAGCAGTCTCTCTTGAACCAGCAAGTTACCACTATTCGTGATCAGCTCCCTCCCTGTCTACAACTGGCCATGAACTTAGCTAGTGAAAAGGGGGCATCTGGATGACTTACATCTCTCCCTCTGGAAGAGTTTGGATTTACATAATACAAGGGTGGCTTTCGTGATGAATTGTCATTGAGATATGGATGGACCCCTCGCCTTCTTCCTGTGAATGTGGCTCTCCCTTCACCATAGAACACTCATTGTCCTGTCTGAAGGGCGGCTTTTACCATCATCAGACACAATAAGGTTAGGGATTATTTTTGCATCATGGTTAGCTGAGATCTGTACTAAATGGAGGATTGAGGGTGGAGCCCCCACTCAACCCATTTCCGGTGAGACCCCGTCAGATGCTTCTGCTATTGGTGGTAGTGATGCAAGATTGGATATTGCTGCTAGTGGTCTATTGGGAGGTCATTTTGTACACATGTTTTTCAATGTCTGGGTTTTTAATCCATTTGCTCCTTCCAACCATTTCGACAATATAACAGCTCCTTACCAGAAGCATAAAACGTTGAAGAAAAGAGCATATGAACAAAGGGTTTGTGAGGTGGAACATGCATTGTTTGTTCCTTTTGTTTTTTTGTTCACTGGTGGTGTGAGCAAAGGTACTAAGACCTCATTAAAGAGGCTGGCCTCACTATCAAGTATTAAATCTGGCCATTCATACAATCAGACAATTTCTTGTCTTAGTCACCTTATCTTTTGCCCTCCAACGTTCCTCTTTACAACGCATACATGGTCGTCGCTCCAGATTTGAGAAATATGAGAAATGTGGTTGCCCCGGTTGACCTCGTCATGTCAGAGTCAGGCTTAGCCCACATTATCATATTGTTTTGTCCCTTACTGAATGACAAAGTTTATGATGTATTTTATTTTAATTTGGAAACTTTAAAAACTCTGCTCTATTCTTTACTTTCAACTATCTTTCCCTTATTCTGTCACAATCTATTCTACTATTTTGTCCTATTTTCACCGTTATTGTTATTATTATTATTGTTGTTGTTGTTATTATTCTTGTTGCTATTGTTATTGTTATTTTTATTGGTACTATTATTATTATCATTATCATATTATTATTATTACTAATATAATTATTATTATAAAATAGAATTTCAAATGACAGTTAGGTTAGGTAGGGTTAGAGATAGAGAGGAAATAAGTTATTATGTTATATTTATGGAGGAAGAATAAGAATAAGAGTAATATTTAAGACATTATGAGAGATAGTGTTGCATCATCCATCATATCAATGGTCCACCACTTAGTCCTTGAGCTTCATAAACATACAATATTTGCTCTCATGATAGCAAAAGACATATGAGTCCTGAACCATAAAAAAATCTCGCTGTAACTTCTCTCTTATTTGCATGACAACCTATCATTTAATTTTGTCAAATAAGACACATGCTTCTCTGGCCATCATTTCATCCACTGAGGTGCATAATGGTGTGAACATCACCCTCCTCTTTTCACATGCATTCTGATACTTATCTTTCTTTTCTTTCTCAGCAGCACTCAAGACAGCCAAAGGGGAAATGTCAAAGTAAGACTTGGCATTAATATCAACAATACAATTATCAAATAACGCTACTGTCTGAGGTGACCAAACTCCCCTATCAGCCATTCCAGCAATCAAGGCAGGTGCATTGGTCCCAATATCAGCTTCTCGGACGACGAACCTTACTCCATGCCAATGCTGATAAATCTCCAAAAGCTTCCCTTATCTCATTGTGCCTCTATAATAAAACCTCCCTTACGGCAAGACAAGGCATGGGTTAAGTCAAACTCTGAACCACAACCGTCACAATGAGATGGAATATGTAGTAATGGTTTCTTGTAACGTATTGCAAGTGTATCTCTTAAATTTTGAGGTGTCAGATGAAATTCAAGTCTTGTCATAGATAGCACATTTAACCACAGTGATATTTTCTCATCTTTAGCTCGCAATACTGCTCTGCTTTTTCAATACAGCCATTTCCTTCCGAGCATTAAAAAAGCCTCATAATACTTTCCACAATCAATATCAGATTTTCCCTTTAAAACTTCAATCAGGACACTGGTAGTGGTTCGAGACAAAGCGAAGAGGGATTGACAAGTCTCCACAGGACAAAATACATTAAGACCACCATATCTTGTAGGCAGGGTGAATAGAGACCTCTCATCAGTTGACACTTCACAGCCAAAAATAGCAGGCAGGAAATCTTGTACTATCTTACACTCAATCTCATCAAACAAACGAGCACAATCCGGAACCAGTCATTGAAGATATAACCACTTGTTCTGTGCATGTGCTGCCTGAGGTTGATCAGAAGCTATTGATGTCAAACCGTCCATCAGGCATACCCAACCTTTCATCAAACCCCTCACATACTCAATTCTTTCTTCCTTCGCTCCCACAACACCACCCAGCAATCTATGGCTTGTAACTACTTGTAGTCCCAGATTATTATTATTATTATTGTTATAAATGAACATATGGAAGAACAGCAGTA